AGGACAAGAGAGAAAAAGAGAAAGGGAGGGGGCACCCAAATTCCATCCCTTAATGGGGATGAAGGGCAGGCAACATTCACAAAACACACAGTGTTCAGTCAAAGCAGAAACTGCCTGGAGGGCAAGACAAGGAGAAAACATATATTTGTTTCTGATGCTAACCACCTGAAGCATCAAATCTTCCCCACTTTTTAAATTTAACCTCAGTGCATCAATACTGCTCTAAAGAGAAATTCAACTGTCACTTGCTGGATGCCTGAGTGAAAATTAGAAGTCTCCAGAACAAGCAGAGGAAGACAGTCCTGCTCCTACTCCAAGCTTTCAACATGAAATGCAAAACAGGACAAAACAGGAGGGGTGAGAAAACAGGATGACAAGGAAACCAAAACTCCCATCAAGAACCACACCTCAGAGAAACACCTCCAGGACCCTGGACTCCAGGACTCTGGAACCCCCCAAGCCCAAGTGCGGGAACCGCAGCTGATGCACAGGCAGTCAGCAAGGAAGCTTCTCTAAGTACTAAATCAACAGGCTCTAGTGTTGCACTCTACCAGACATGTGAGCTTGGAATCACAAGCTGGCATGTGAGCCCACCCAGAAGCACATCCAGGGAGAGGCATTTTGATTAAGTGGTACATTCTAGAACACAGGCAGAAGCAGGGCCACCGGTAAGCCTGACACAGTTCCCTGTGGCTGCCTGGCTACTTGAGAAACACAGATGTGACCCCACAAGGGAACCCTCCCTCAGTGCTGTGCTAACCTTTAGAGAATGAAGGATTTGGGGAGGATGCTCATAGGGCCTCCAGACTAACATCTGGTCTATAAGTAGCAGTGAATCTGACCATATCATACCAAGCCAAGGGGTGCCAACCCTCTCCTTGAAGTCTTCCAGAAAGGAAGAATGTCCACACTCAGTACCTATTTGACAGAACTCAAGAGGAAGTTCTGTCAAAGGAAGTATAAAGACAATACCTTTACAAGCAGGAATATATTTTGCAAAAACCATTTTCTCTTTCTGCAAAAAAACACCTACAGTCACCTTACAAATGACCCAAAGAAAAACACCAGAGCTGCAGAGAGAACAGAGAGCTATCGCTCCTTTCATTTGCATATGTCACCTTCTCCTGCTGTCATCCAACTTTAATTTTAAGCCCTTTGGACACTTCTTGTCCCCACAGCCACTAAGGTTTCTAGCAGAAAATGCCTGTAACTTCATCACCTCAACAGATCTCATGGCCTAAGGAAGGCACAGAGTGTCTCCAAAGGCTCACCTTGTATGACTAGCAGTGACAGTGAAGACTGGCCTTTCTGGACAGAGCCAGAGGGCCTTATAAGGAAGAGTTCATTCTCCTTAAGAAATAGAGTATGTCTCTTCTAGAACACAGGGAGCCATTCTTGTGCTTCTTTTGCACCTAACTTAATACCCAGGACAGTGCGGGACACACACTAAGTGCAAAAGCAAAACGTTTCTCCACTTCTCAATTCAAGCCTTAGTTACCATTTTCAAGGCAATTAAAAAGACCTTTCACCCCCTCATATGAACCCTTTCATTTTCTGCATCTTTGTCCACTCACACTATGGCTAGTTTACTCCTAAGGTCTGTTTCTCGTATCTCTAGATGAGACTATTCTAACTCCTTTTGGCTTAAAAAAAACAAAACTTCTGACAGCAGTGATGCCCATCCCTCAGTGTGCATGCCTCATTGGGACAATTAAGAGGATGGACCCCTATGCCTCCATGATTAACCAGTCAGCAAAACATCTTCAGATCACTTGGTAATAAAAGATCAACACGTTAATGTTTCAAAATGGAAAACAAGATTAAAATGAATTCAAAGTGAAATATGTATCCAGAAAAATAAACCAAACGCTTTGAAATGTGCCTCATCAGCACCATTAGCACCAAAACACCACATGAGTAAAGACCTACAAGCCTCCTTGGCACTGAGGTGTCCAACCTGCAGCTCATTGGGACACTTACCTTTTTATTAAATGTTATAATAAAAAAAAGAAGTTATGTTCCTTATATTTTAAACTACATTATAAATGTCACATGCAGGCCAAGACAAGTCACTTTCACTCAGTGCAGCCTAGGAAAGGCAAAAGCTTGGGTATCCTAGAACCATTTCCAGAATAAAGGTACTTGCTTACAGTTTGTTGCCAGCAACAGCTTATCTCCATGTTAGTTGTGAGATACTGTTCAATTCAGGCCACTGCCACAGGTCCTAAGTTAGCAGAGTCACATGAGAGCTCAGGTAGTGTCATCCTTCCAGGTCACAAGAGTTTGGGGTCAGGAGGAGCCCAATCTTCGTGCTGGTTCTCATGAATCTGCTTTGCAGACTATCAGGCTAAAAAGCAGCTCTCATAAAAGTGGTTATGACTTAGCCTACAGATTCACAGTTTTCAGCATTTAAATCCTACATACTCTTAGTCCTAGTTCAGATACTATAAAACCAATTGCTAAGACTTGGTGCTACGGTTCAAATGTGTTCCCCAAAGACCTGTTTGTTAAAGACACAGTCCCTAGCTTGTGGCACCACTGGAAGGTGATGGAACCTTAAAAGATGAGGGACCTGGTTGGAAATCTTCTGGTTGTATGGGGATGTACCCTTGAAAGGGATATGAGGTGCTGGTTCTTCGTATCCTTTTCACTTCCTGGCCACCAGGAGATGAGCAACTTCCCCCACCATGTGCTCCCACCATGACACACAGCCTTACTACAGGTGTAAAGCAACGAAAGCAACTGACTAGGACTAAAACCTCCAAAACTGTGAGCCACAATAAGCCTTTTCGCTTTATAAACTGATTAATGCAGGTATTTGTTAGAGTAAAAGAAAGCCAACTGACACCCTTAAAACATAACTCAGCCGCAACAATTAGCACTAAACCACCATCCAAATAAAGACCGGAAACAGCCAACTCAACAGTTGTGTCTCATGGCAACAAAGGCTTCATTAGCCAACATCTAACTACCATTAAAACTTGGCTTTCTTTGATAGACAATTTTACAATTTATTCATTTTTCATCTATCACACCACTCATTACAATGTCCCCAGGGCAATTTAATTCCCAATTAATTCCCAACTACACTAATAACCAACAACTAATGCAAACTAAGAAAGAAAAAGACCACATCTCTTTCATCAAGATCCTCATAAATACACAGAGAACACTGGGAAATCTCTCTGGGTGGTTCCCGGCTCAGCATAGAGGCAGCCTTCGGTTATATGAATAAGGTATGCTATAGTTTCAAATTCCTCTTATTGAGATGATTGTCCTTCTTTAAATTATTGACATAATTGTCCCAGCTACAGTTTCCTGTAAGTTTCAATAAATATTGAATGGAACCCAAAGTTTTGAGTGATTACGGTGATTTTTCAAACTGAGAAAGAGACAGAAAAAGGAAAGAATGGGAACAGAAAGGACGGCTGACTGTAAGCCAAAAACTAGGAGGAAACACTTAAAATTTTAATCCCGGTCCTACATAGTCAGAATACAATCAGAGCTCTGTTGCATACGTAAAATCTTCCATATGTAAGCACACAATTCAAGAGATTCTTGAGGGAAAACATTCAACTGTAAGATGCTCCAGTGTCTCACACCAATCAACTCACACAGAGAAAAACCAAGCGCATCAACAGGTCAACCCTCAGCCTACTCTCCATTTTCCCCAATGACACTCCTTTCACTAGAGCAAACAAACACGAGGAAAGCCTCACCTAGAGCAGGTGTCATGGCGGCCATGGGCCCAGCGGGATCCAGCTGGAATCCACTCATCATGAACTGGGCGTCCGAGGCGGCACTGTCCATCTTCAGGTTGGGCAGGTTCATGTTCTGGGCCAGGTAGTATTGGTAGAGCTCGGCCTCAGCGGGTGAGGGCAGGCTGCCGAGCCCCAGGTGGCGGTTGTGTTGGATTTGGGTCATGTTCTGCTGTAGCAGCATCATGTTATGCATGTGCTTCTCGCTGGTCATGTGGATCCGGAGGTTCCTAGCCACGTTGGTCTCATAATCGCATACCTCACACCGCCACGTAGGTTTGGTTTTTGGTTTGGTGGGCGAGGGGGCCCCACAAGAACTACTGATATTGGCTGCCGCGGCCGCTGCTGCTGCGGCTGCCGCCGCCGCCCCAGCAGTGTGGCTGAAGACCTGCTCCCCCCCTCCGTTCTGCAGGTTCTGCATGTTGTTGAGATGCTTGTCGGACTGCATATGAATACTGAGGTTGCCTTTGGTAGTTGTGGAGTAGTTACACACCTCGCAGCGGAAAGGCTTGTAACCACAAGTGTAGCTCTCGCCTCGTGCCAACCGGGGGTGGGGCTGCCCGCTTTTGCAGTAGACACAGGAGCCCCCCGGCTCCGGGTGCTTCTCCTTCATGTGTGCCTCCAGTGTCTGCTGGTATTTATAGTGCCAGTTGCACTTGGGGCACTTGAGTGTCTTACACGAGTTACGAGAATGCATCATGGTCATGTGACCGCCCAGTGAGCGGGAGGAGCCCAGGACCGTGTCACATTTGGGGCACTCTACACCACTCCCCGAGGGGCACTCCCCAACCCCAAGCTCGCAGAGGGAGCCAGCGTGCTGGTGATGTGGGACGAAGCCCCCATCATCGCCCTCTGTGCTTTCATTTGGTTCTGGTGCTGTGGCATTGTCTTTATTGGCACTTTCATCAGTGAAGTCCAGCCTCCTGCCGCCCTCTGCCACATTGGCCCTGACGCCCTCACTGTTAAAGCTTAAACGATTCCTCCTGTTCGCACCATCAAAGACAACAAAGGAAGAAGCAGAATTAGAACTAGTAGAAGCTGTGCCCCTCGACAAGGTCTGGAGCACATTAGGCATTAAGGGGGAGTTAGAAATGCTTTGGTTTGAGAGAGCAAGGTCCTTTTTGCTGCTGCCACCTGCGGCTGCCCCAGACTCCTCAGAGGGCCTGTCCTCCAGCTCCTCATCCAACTCACTTGGAAAGAGTCCTTTGCAACCCTCATCTTCCTCCTCCTCCTCTTCCTCCTCCTCTTCTTCCTCCTCCTCCTCTTCTTCCTCTTCTTCCTCCTCCGCCTCCTCCTCCTCGGCTGGCTCCGCTTTCTCGGAGAAGCAGTCCGGATCACCGGCTTCTCGCTTCTCTCCGTCAGCTGCCCCAGAGTCCTTGCCCTCTGAGGATTTGGTAGGACTGGAAGCCAGAGGCCCCAGGGGGACTGAGGTAATGGGGGTCTTCAGGACCGAGCTGGTGAGCCCGCCAAGGTTCAAGAGGGTGCTGGGGGTCAAGAGACCAGCCTGGGGCTGCTCAGGGCCAGCAGCAGAGCCGGCTGGGAGAGCCTCCTCCCCTTCCATTCGAATGCCACTAAATTTACCATAAAAACTGTGTCCGGGGCCTATGAGGTTAGCTGTGGAAACTAAAGGGTGTTGAAAGTTTTTGTTTTTTGGTTCCAGAAAACTTACAAGGGGTTCTTTGTCTTTGCCAATCCCTTGGATGATAGCGGAGATGTTCTTATTGCTAAGAATTTTCCGCTCGTCTTCACTCAGGGTCATTCGATGGTCGTGTACCGCGTGGGTCACAAACGAACGGACGTACCCGAAGGAGAGTTTGCACAAGAAACACATCAGGATGGGCTTCCTCTTGCCGTAGAGCACAAAGCCATCGAATTTGGACAGGTCCACATTGTTGGGAACATCTTTGGATACACAGGAGCTTTTGGCAGAACCGTCGCTGTTCAGGTAATCCTTGTTGCTTTTGTGTCGCACGTCGAAAACGCGGAAGCTGTGCAGGACTGGGCTGAGCCCCGCCAGGGCTGAGGTATTCGGGAACGCCTGGTCTGAGCCCTCAAACCATTTCCCGAAGGATGAGGCTATGTGGAAAGTGTTGATGATCTGCGGGTACACGGGTGCAGCACACGAAGGGTCCCCCTGCTTGCCCCCCGCCCCGGGGACTGAGTTCAGGAAGAGCGAGGGGACAGGCCCGCCGCTGCCCCCGGCGCAGGCGCCCCCGCTCGGCGGCGTCAGCTGGCTCAGGCTCTCCACGATGTACGCGGAGCCGTCGGGCTGGTACACGATCTCGCCAGCCAGGTTCTCCACGTCGCTCTCCTCCTCGCCCTCCTCGCTGGTGTCGCTGGCGCTCTCCTCGGGCAGGGGCAGGGACAGGGGCGGGGGCGGGGGCGGCGGGGCGCGAGCGCCGGGGCAGGGGTGCTCCATGTAGGTCTGCAGGCTGGCGAAGGAGGCCGAGCACTCGTTGCAGCTGACCTCCTTGCTAGCGGCGGCGGGCTCGGCGGGGGGCCCGGCCGAGGGGGCGCTGCTCTCCGCCAGGCGCTCATTGAAGGGGGCCCTCAGGCTGTCCAGGGGCCCGTGGCTCTCGCCTGTGGGCTGCTCCATGCTACTGGGTTTGTCGGGGAGGTGGGTGCTGTTGAGTTCAGTCCATTGCCGGTGCTGAGGGATACCGCACCCATTGTCCTTCCCCGAGACGACGGGCGAGTCACAGCCTTCCATGGTAAGGCCTGCGTGGAGCTTTCATTGCACCCAGTACGGATCGGACCTGAAGGGCGGAGGCAAGGGGGGAGGAGGGAGAGAGGGAAAAGAGAGAGAGAAAGGAAAGAGGTTAGGAGGGCCGAGGCTAAGGTCCCGCGCAAGGAGCGCTCTAAGAGGCTTCTGTCCACACCCACAACGCAGAGCCCACAGGGCAGAGGGCAGGCAGGCCTGGGGACATGGCCCCAGCCGACCAGCACAGAGGGTGGCAGTGCCCGTGGGCATCACGGCCGGGTCCGAACACAAGCAGGGGGCGTGGAGAAAGGGAATCGGGAGCCTGCCTCTCTGACTTCAGACTGCTGGCTCTTCCACCCGGGAGACCAGTCCAAATATCCATTCTCTGCCAGTGCTGTCCGGCAGTCCTCAGGCAGTGAACCACAGGGAGCAGGGCTGTCACCTCTTCAGCCCTCAAGGAAGTCACGGCATGGAGGCCCTACAGCACACACAGTCAACCCTGGCTCATCATGCTGTCTATGGCACAGAGCAACACCAGGAAGCCACTAGAGGAAGAAAGTTTAGCACTCTCAGGAAAAGGATGTAAAACTGGGATATGCTCACTGATTTGAGAATTCACTGTTACTGCTCTGATTGGCCACACGTCTAGCCTGAAAAGTTCAAAGGTCTCAGAGGGCCTGAGAGGCTCAGAGGACAAGAATACAGACCTGAAGACCCCTTCCAAACTCCCCGAGGGGGCCAAAGGTAGCAACCCTTCTCTCCAGGTGCCAGAAGCATCAATCACATCTACCAAGCAGTAAAATTGAGGAGTTAAACCTCAAAATGAGCCTAATACCACCCTGATCACCAAGAGAAAACAGGCCCCTGAATTCCCATGTACTCTGCCCCAATCTGAAGAAACCCCTTGCCTGGGACTCGGCTGACTGCAGACTAAAATTATGCAAGTACAAAAGCATGAGCTTGATATTTCCAGTAAGAACAGACCAGACTCGCATCCTGCCAACTCCCCCTCCAGCAGCTCCACCTCACCCCGTCTGGAGGAGCCCATTCACCACGTGCTTGGTGGGTTTGCTATCAAGGATCTTAGTGCAAGCTGAGACAGCAGCTGGGCTCAGGGAGCCCCGGTTCCGCACCTGCCTCTTAGTTATTAGTCGCTACCCAAGCAGCTGTCCTGTAGCCCTGGGGCTTTTCCGTTTCCGACTCCAAAGTGCCACTGAGCTGAACTCGCCCTCTGAGACCTTGTATCCCTGAGGAAGGCAGCATCAGATCACCAGCCACCTGGTTCCTGTGGCAACATCATTGCAGGGGCCTTCTTTCTGTCTCAGCGCTGCTCCTACAGGCAACTCAGCACCTCTGCAGCCCTGATTTTTCTCTCTGCAGATCCCTGGCCATCTTTCCTGGGCTTCTCCTTCCTGGAGAACACTTGGCGGCGCCTCCACCCACCACTCATTCATACTCAGCACATGAAGGTTTTGGCTGTGTTTGGTCTCTCCCCACCCCCTACATCCCTCATCTTCTCATTCTTTTTTTTTTTTTTCCTTTCTCCATTCTTGACTACACAGTGAGCCAAGAGCTCCCCCTCGGGAAAAGATGAAGAAGGCAGGTTTACCAGAAGTCTCCGAAGAAATAACTTTTTTGGAAGAATGTGCTGTGATTTGTTTAAAATGCACACGCACACACAATCATCTTTCAATTTGTAATCTCAGACTCCATGACAACAACCTTCTGTGTACATTAGAAAAGACGTGTTCATTTGAAACAGACATGACTATGCTAACCCAAACCCACGAACAGATGCAATAGGCCTTCTTGCAAGGCTTAGCTGGGATACAGGTGAGAAGCCAGGATGGCTCTTAAAAGATGCCTCTGATTGGCTAAATGCCATCTGATTGACAGCACAGGCCACAAAGGTTGGCAGGCCTGAAGGGGCGGGAGGGTTAACAGCCCGATTGTAAAATCAATGTCATAAATGCTTGGTAAGTTACAGGAACATGCAGGAAGGGGAGGCCACGATTGATAAAGGAGAACAGCTTTGATGCCGCACCAGGGACTTGTTTATCGACAGCAAAGCCAATCTCCTCTCCAGCCTGGGCTGGGCCAGAGAAAGCTGCAAGTGTTTACCAATTAATTGGTGGGCTTTTCTTGCTCTGCTCTCTTCTTCCTCCTCCTCCTCTTCTGCAAACTATCCGGCTAAATGGCTAGGTCTTTTTAAAAAAAACTCCCTAACTTTATTTTTTTACACCAAAGCAGGTGTCAAGAAATGATACTGTGACTACTTGTGGGAGACAGACAACTCTGTGAAGGTGACACCAAGGGCCACTTATTCACAGCAGGAAATCACCTGTTAAGATACAGGTGGAAAAGAAGGACCCCACTTCTGGATGCACACTGCCTGCCCTGGACATCCTTTCCACACACGCTGGCCATGATGACAGCAGAATCTTGGACAACTTTGCTAATAAGCGAAGTGTGGTTCACAGACTAACAGCCTTGTCCTCGCCACAGAGCTTGTGAGAAATGCACATTCCCAGCAACTCTCCACTCCATCACAATCTGCCTTTCCACACCAGCCCCTGGTAACTGGAATTACAGCCTGAGACACTCTCTGCTTCCCATCTTCACCAAGTGGCCAGCTAGTCTGTGTTGGCACCTGTATCCCTAGGTAACCAGGGAAAGATGACTTCATCCCTACCCCGAGCGGCCCCCGGGAGGTGTGGGGATAACGATGGACGGGGGACTGGAGCGGTGACATGCAGAAATCTCTTCATCCTGCCTCATCCTGTAGCTCAAGGACCTCAGGGCATCCACCACTCTCCCACCCAGCCGGCGGTTGAGCTCACTCTGTTTATCAGCCAGTCAATAAGAAAAAGGTAGTTCTTACTTGAAGAGGCAGAAGTCAACTTGGCAGGTCGATCAGCACTCTGTCTGTAAACACGGTTTCCCGTAAAATCAATGATCTTCAGTTACAGAGGGCAGCCTGGGAACCGAGTGGGTCCCCGCGCTTTCACAGGCAGCCCTCCAGCTGGTATTCACGCACCTCTCCCAGCCCCCAGCCGCATGCCTGGTCTCTATCCCTCAAACACCCTGGACCCCTCCTGCAACCTGCATGCCTTCCGCTGCTTACACCCACGAACTCCCTTCAACGTCCTGGTGTACAACTTGCAACCTCCACTATTTTTCTCCAGCATGCTATTATTTTAAGACTTCAGCTAGATTTTAATAGAGCACATCTCACCAATGACAAAGTTCAAGTGATGATACAAGAGTGATCTTACTAGCATTCATTCTTGGGGCTGGGGATTTAGCTCAGCGGCATAAGCACCTGCCTTGCAAATATGTGGTCGTTAAGTTTGATCCCAGGTATAGATTTAAAAAAAAAAAAAAAGTTTGGTACTAACATTCATTCCTGTGCATGCTGTCCTTAGAATTAAGCAGTCATGTACAAAAAAATTCTGTCACTATCAAGAACCTCCTATCCATTTTCATCTTCCAAGTTAGAGTCTCACTCCTTTTAGGCCATTGAATCTTTATAAATATCAGCCTCTACTTTTCAAATATCGTTTAGAAGGGTAAAAATCCGCCATGTTAGTTAGGCATAGTGGCACACATCTGTAATCTTAATACTTGGGAGGCTGAGTCGGGAGGATCTCGAGTTCAAGACCTATCTGGGCTACATTGGGAAACCCTCAAAACACACACACACACAAAGCTTCCCTCTGTTGTCCTGTGGGGCCCCATCAGGAAAGGCTTGTCTCCCCGTGTAAACTAAACAGATGTGCTACAAAAGTTCAGTGGTATTCCTTGAAGGAGACAGGGCTGGGTAAAACCCAACAGATCCGGGAAGGATGGGGGGGGTGCAGTTATGAGGAAGGGAAGGGGAGGGGCTCCTGCTGCTGCTCCAGCTCCCAGAGAGTTAAACATGAACAGTCGCACTGTGTAATTTTAAACTGTTAATTAGCACAGGGTTAATTAGGCGGTCCTTTCACAAGGGGCTGTTTGGCAGAAAACCAAGAAAGGAAACAAAGGGGAAGGAAAGAAAAACAAAGAGAGAATAGAGACAGCCAGAGAAACTGCTGCCTCCGTGAATAACCCAGAGGGCAGGCATCATGAGATGTCAGCCAGCAGGCAGGGCCGCCCGCTCTCAGGGTGCTCCCGCCACCCCTGGGAGAAGCAACAAGCGCCTTCTCACTGCGGCTCTCAGGCAGCGCTGGAGGCCCTTTGACTCAGCACATTTCTCCATTCCAGGAATTCACCCCTAGGAAGCAACCAGACGATGCATGGAGATAAAAGATCATTCATCACAAAATTTATAACAGGAAAAAAAAACTTAGAAATCATTGGGCCAGAAACAGACTTGGAACAACTCATAGTACATACAGGTCTACCCAAATGCTTCCCTTATGGAAATGATTTACAGGCATGGGGAGATGACCAGATTTCAAATGAATATGAAGCACATATAGGCACATACATAAGACTTTTAGGTTAAAATTTTTATGATGGTAATTTCTAGGAGCTCAGGCTACAGGGGCCATCTTGTTCCCTCCAAAGCTTTTTAAAGTTGAAGGCTTCAATTTCCAGATGCCATCGATTAATGAACCAGGCACTGCATAACGGCAGATGGGTGCAACTTCACTTTGAACCTCATAACCACTCTAGGAGGTAGGTATTATTTTTATCCCCATTTTAAAGATGGGAAAACTGAGGTTGCAACATTCTAAATAACAAAGACAGGCAGTGTGGCTTTGGAGGCTGTGCTCTTAGCCACTCCACTAGGCTTTTCTTTAACGTCTATTTTGCAAAGAAAACAATAGACTACCCAACATTTGCATTCAACCCCCATCCTACCCAGTGTTAGGGATTAAACCATGAAGCTACCAGCCTCCATATTCAATCTCTCTGCACCCAGGAGCTGTCCTAAGATCAAGGGCTACCAGAATGTTAGTGTAAAAGAATCCTATACCCTGTCCTACCCCCCCCCCACAAATGCCCTTTCCTTTCTTGGGAGCAACACTGGGGGACAGTTCAAAGTGGTCTTCTTCACTTAAATGTCTTCAGCGAGGTGGAAGCAGACAAAGCAGGTAGGGGAAGCTGTAGCAACAAACTACAAAATGGGTCCTACATCGTGGATTTAAAAAAAAAGGAAGAAAGGCAAATTCTAGAAACTAAAGATCAGGAAATGCATTCACTCATTCATTTGATAGAGGATGTGCTGTGAACCTACTATGTGTCAGCAGCTAGCGACTACAGTGGTAACCAGGGCACATCTTACAGCCTGTGGGCAAACGTGTGTATCAATATTAAGTGGCAAAGACACCCACAAGTAATGCAAAGTCAGAAAGGGAGACAGTGATTGTGTAGACACATCCTTGGGGGTAAGTAATGTTATTAAAGGAATATACTCAGATTATATACTGTGAGTATTCTCTAAGTTTAGAACAGATGTGGCCACTGATGGGAGAGTGTTTTAGTGGAATGATCCTGAGGAACTATAGCTCCATGAAGAAAACCCACATAAAATAAAAGGAAAAATAGTAAAGACTTTTTTTTTAAAGAAAATTAAAGTGTGCCAAAATTTGTCATTTCTTTATATTGTGAATAGGAAATTTGTTTCAAATAAAGAAGTCTGGCCAATTTTATAGCTGGTCGATGCCACTGCCTGAAGTATCAACTGAAGAGGTCAGTGTCGCACACCACCACAGGGCTCTGTCTTGTCTCTGTTCTGTTCACTGAAACCAATAACCTGAGGAATGAGAACAAGCACCCACGTCAATGTGCACAGTACATAAAATTAACAGGAACAGCTAATATGGTAAATGGTGGACTCAGGACTGGGAGGGGGAAAGACTCTCAGCCAGTTACAATAAACAGTCCAAACAAGACAAAATTTTAAATTGGGTGGGGTGGCACATGCCTGAAATCCCAGCATTCAGGAGGCTGAGGCGGGGGATCACTGTGAGTTCAAGACCAGCCTGGGCTGCAAAGTAAGCTCAAGGCCAGCCTAAAATGCCTAGTGAGATTCTGTTTCAAACAAACAAGACAAAATTTTAGAAAGAAGGATGAAGCGCTACATTTAAGAGCTCTGAATTAATAGCAGTTCATGCCAAAAAACAAACACAAACAACCTAGAGGTTTCACTTGACTATAAATTCAGTGGGGACCCCCAGATGATGCAGCCGCAGGAGTGCTCAGGATCCATCAGCAGGTGTGCAGCACTGTCATCTGCTCACTCTGGCTGCATGAAGAACATTCTGGTCCACTCTGGACTCATGGAGGAGGGATACTGGTAACCTGGAGCACGGTCAGAGAGGCTGAGCACGCAAAGGTCGAGGGCACAGAGAAGTCCCATTGTACAGCAAGACAGCTCCCTTGTACTGTATAAAACCCTGCCTGCCACCTGCGAAGAGGATCCGTGTGTCTACCTTACTTCAGGGTGAAACTAGGAGGAAGGAGGGGGATCTGTAAGGCATTAAGGTTTAATTCAATATAAATGAAAATCTTTCTCAAGATTATCAAAGTCTCCAAATAGAAAGTTTCCACTGTGAAATACTCTGCTCTCTGGATTTGCAAATGGAGAAGGGTGTTTTACCATGGTCAGGACGTTCCATCAAGCAGCCTTTGAACACTGGAGATTCTTTTCATTCCTCAGTAATCGATCCGGCTACTCTGCCAGTTTGAACCCTCTCTATCTTTCACACATGACCGCGGACTGCAGTGTGGAGGTCACCGTCTGGCTGTGGTTGGTCGGCTGTTGACCTGACCGTGTAGGCTGTGAGCAACGTGAGGACAGGTTCCATGTGTCATTCATCTCTGCACCCTCTGCATCCAAGATGTAACGGATGCTTAATAAAACAATGGAGGAAACTACGGTCATGAGAGAAAGAAGAGCTAGCCCTTGAAGAAGGAAAAAGACATCCTTGAATCTCTCCCCTTTTAGCAAAGGCCCGGTGTAACCGTCTGCAGTCAGCGGAACCCGAGGTCCTGAAGGAATGGCCGACTCTTGCAGTAGAGCAGAAAGAGTGCAAGATGAGCTTGGAGGATTGTGTGTTCAAAGGAGGGAGCCTGGTGGGGTCCCACTGGCCACACTGGGCAACATTCAAGCAAGAATAGTAGGAAAAAATTACAACCCAATACATAAAGTAATCTGTAATACCACAGTTCTATAAAGGAAAAAAGTACAGGCTGGGAACATGCTTAGAAGTAGAGCTCTGGCCTAGCACATGAAAAGCCCCGAGTTCAATCCCCGGTACAAGAAAGAAAGAAAAGAAGGGAGGGAGGAGGGCAAGAAGAGGAAGACAGGATGGAAAACTGAAGGAAGACGGGGGAGAGAGGAAAGAAAGAAAGAAAGAAAGAAAGAAAGAAAGAAAGAAAGAAAGAAAGAAAGAAAGAAAGAAAGAGAAAAAGGAAAGGAAAGAAGGAAGGAAGAGAGGAAAGAAAGAAAAAGAGAAAGGTAAGAAAAGGAAAGGTGTGTGACAAGGAAAAAGTTTTCCTTAAGCTAAAACTCAAAGACTAGATGTAGAATAAATTATAGAATTAGTCACTTTGGTACCCATCATCACAGTAATCATAATTCACTTAGGTTAGAGCCAATGGATGATGAATACACGCAAGTTTTTACAGTCTCAATCCCCCACTGACACATTAATTACAGGAGGAAAAACAATAACTTTTCAGCAGAGAATCTTGGCAAAAACCACCTTAATAAGTGATCAAAGTTCACAAGAGCAGCAGTGAGACAAAGAGACACCATGTGCCTCCTGATAGGATACGCTGAGAACACAACATCCCTTGCTGGGCATTCCTGGAAAAAAAAAAAAAAGCAAAGCCTGAATCTAATCAAGAAAGAACATCAGACAAATCCAAACTGAACAAAGTCTACAAAATGTCCTATGCTTTGCAGAAATGTCAGCATCATGAAACAGGACAGACTGAAAAACTGTAAAGAGGATGAGGGAGACCTGATGTGTAATCCTAACACATAATCTGGGATTTCCTTTTCCTATAAAGGAAGTAACTGAGACAACTGGAAAAATCTTAATAGGATCCACAGATGGACTAAAACTAACATATGAATATTAATTTCCTAATTTTGGTAAGTATGTTGTCATCACATAATAGAATGTCTTTGAGGTGTTTATTTTTTGAGACAGTGTCGCACTACGTAGTTCAGGCTAGCCTGAACTCATAGAGATCCTCCTGCCTCAGTTTCCTGAGTGCTAGGATTATAGTGTGAGCCACCACGCCCAGCAGTGTCCTTGTTTCTTGAGATGCTCCAGAATATTTACAGGTGAAAGGTCATGATGCCTTATTCTCAAATGGCTTAAGGGGAAAACATGTGAAAGTATGTATCAATATGTACATATGATGTGTAAATACAAATACCACATATATGGAGAAGTTAATATGAGATAATATTAATATAGGAGGATCTGAATGGGAGAATTCTTTGCTCTATTTTCACAACTTTCCTGTATACCTGAAATAGTGTCAAAGGAAAGAAAAAAATTCCATCCAGAATAGAATTCCACATAGTAAGCTTCCAAAAATACTTAGGAACAGTCAACCGCCCTCTTACGCATGTCCCTATCTTTATGGGAAATTCATTCCTGGCACAGCTGCATTAGGAGGAGGCTGTGAGGCTGGAAAGGGAGGTGTGGATGGACAAGAAAAGCAGTCTCTCCTTCCTGCCGTTGAGAGGTTTCTAGGCAAAGCTCCCTGGTTGGAGAAGACAATTAGATGGTCATTCTAACTTGAGCAGAATTTCAAGTAATACATACTGAGCCATATGCTCAAAACACCCATGGTCCCAGCTCAGATACATTTCCCTAACTTAGTGAGAGGAGTTCTAAATAAATGGACGAGGGCAGCCACCAGGAGCACCCCAGCAGCAGACTAAAACACAGTAGAAAGAATATATACACCAATGAATACACTATACCCTCAGTAGCTCTTCCTCTCAAAAACAAACAAACCCAGATTCTAAGATAAGTAAAAACCTCATTCAAGGGGCAACAAAATAATACCAACATCTATTTAGCTTAGAATCCACAGAACCTTATCCAATTCCATTTCATGCTTTATACAATAACAGTGTTTGTATATAGCTGCTGTATATAAGTCAATAAGTGTTAAGCCATAAATAGGTGAGATTACATCTGCTTGGTTGCGTTTTCCCAGTAGCCTGAAGAACGATTCTGTAACTGTGGCCAGGTCAGGGAACACACGTGCTGGAATAGGTCCCTCCTGCAGCAGGAGGTCCATTGCCTGAAACGCCCAGAGAACCATCCAGGTCCTGGGCTTCACGGTTGCTAATAAGTGCACCGTGCTATTTCCAGAGTGAAAATAAATCAGCCTGCAAGTGCAAACTGCTTGTTCGGTCCATTCTGCTGGGAACCCACAAACACTGTGATATTCTGGCTACAGCAGGTCTTGCTGGGGAGAGAAGGCAGGGCCAGATGCACAACTCAGCCTGTGTGTGCTGCAAGAGACAGCTGGTATTTCAAGGAATTTAAAAAGAAATTCACACTATATACATAGATTTTTTAAAGAGACAAAACCAGCTATTACTTATTCTTTGTCTAGTTCTAAACACAGATTTGGGGCCATCTAGTCAACTCTCCAGGATTTGTTTCCTAATACTTAAGTACTTACTTAGGCATCTAGCCGAGGTCACATAGAGATACCTAAGTCACAGGACCTCTGCCTGCCACTGGCCTGAATGGTGCTCCTGGGTTTAACACCAGAAAGCACTGCTCCTTCCCAGATGCAAAGCAGCCCCTCTTGTCACCAAGCACAATAGCTTCAAATCCTCATCACATCCTACTGGAGAGATAGGCAGCCCACACACCCTGGAGCATCTTTATCCCTATCACCTATCTCCTACCCTGGCCCTAGCCCTAGCCTCTCACATACCCCCTGGGATATTCCTGGTTAAACCACACAGTTCCTCATACTAACTGCTTTCAAATACTGCAAACTTTAAAAATGCTTTAAAACACTTTTTAAAATGCTTCTTTGGTAGTACCCAAAACTTGTCTATCTCCTCTCTATTTCCTCACAAGTCCCTCTCAAAAGATTCCACTTCTGATCTCTCCTTTCTTACAATTGGGCAAAAGCTAGGAGCCAGTGTAAACACGCCATCTGGCCCATTACAGTTTCAATCTGGCATCTCCTGATGTTGAATTTATTTTAAATAACTTCTCTTGATTAAAGTAATATGAGTTTATTATTTAAAAAATTTAGATCTGTACAAGGAAACCCAAAAACTAAAGCAAAAATCACTTAAAAGTCCACCAAGTTGAGAGCTACAGAACCACTAGCAGAAGATACCTTCTCAGAGTTTTTTCCTCTGCATGTGTAAAATACAGATTTTCTTTGCCAGGCTCTGATTATACCCATTTCTTCTGTGGGCTGACCTTTTAACTTATCAAACAATTTTTTCTTAGGGCTTTAAATATTCTCAAGTTAGAATCAGTGGCTACACAGACGCCACATCCTATGGACATAGCATAATTTTACTAGACGTTAACTTTTGCCCATGACACATGCCCATGAATTTCTGTATGCACAAACCAACAAAACAATAAAAAATAACAGCTCCTCCTTTACCGTCCACTAAGTAGGAC